TTAGGGCAAGCGGCCAACTAGTTTAGGTTAACAACTAGTGCTGGCGGCCCTCCGAGGCCTGGTTTAGGGCAGCCGGCAACTAGTTAGGTTAGGTTAACTAGTGCTGGCGGCCCTCCGAGGCCTGGTTAGGGCAGCGGCAACTAGTTAGGTTAACAACTAGTGCTGGCGGCCCTCCGAGGCCTGGTTAGGGCAGCGGCAACTAGTTAGGCTAACAACTAGTGCTGGCGGCCCTCCGAGGCCTGGTTAGGGCAGCGGCAACTAGTTAGGTTAACAACTAGTGCTGGCGGCCCTCCGAGGCCTGGTTAGGGCAGCGGCAACTAGTTAGGTTAACAACTAGAGCTGGCGGCCCTCCGAGGCCTGGTTAGGGCAGCGGCAACTAGTTAGGTTAACAACTAGTGCTGGCGGCCCGACCAGACTCAGACCCTCCGGGACTCACAGCAGAAAGACCCCCAAACAGGGTCTCGCAACAGCCAGACGTCCCACCACACCCACTGCTCTCCCCACCCCCCAGCCTTCGCCTCGCCCCCCCGCTTCCGGCCCCCATGAAAGGAAACAGTTCTTTCAAAAAGCACTTGTTGAACTTGCTGAAAAGGAGTCTGGGTGTGAGGGACTCCCTGGGAATGCTAACAGCCTGCGCTCGGACCTGGGGGTGGTGACCTGGTGCGGAGGTAGCAATGGCTACTCCAGCCAGATGCCCCCGGTGGGCACTGGGGAGGGATCCCAGGGGCAGCATGGCCGGATGTTGGCGACTGGCAAGTGGGACATGAAGGGAGGGTCCATTAGGCAGTCCCTGCCTTTGTACATGTTATTCAAGTAGTTTCTTCCCTTTTGTGTAAACTTGGGGAACTACTTCTTTTAAACGTGGCGTCTCCTGACCGGTGAAAGGGAGTGGAAGGGAGGTTGTCAGGAGCACAGGTGACAGCAGATGGCATCCAGATAAACTTGACGTTCAGAGGCCCTTTTCTTTATGCCCAGCCGCGATCGCAGGGCTGAGCCACGGAGCCACTGCACTGCTGCCTACAGCGTCAGGATAGCTCTGTACTCAAAGCAGGGCAGCGCACAAGGGCGTTTATCATGAGAAGGTGAAGTAACACCGCAGGTGTGGCATCTCGACGTTATGAGAGCTTTCTTCAAAGCAGGGCTGCTTTGTTTACAGCTGACCCCAACAGGTCACACACACTGTACCACTGCGGGCAGAGCACCAGGAATGGGGCGCTGCGTGTGGAGGGCAGGCCGGGGACAGTCACGGGATGAAGTGGAAGCTCTTTAAGGGTCTTTCGTGAAGCAGCAGGGTCAATAGTAAGCGATCTGTCTCACGAATGATCTCCCAAACCCCTGGTAGGTGGTGACACCAGCAGGCATAGGGCCTTGAGCAGGGGTTGGCAAGCTTTCTCTGCAAAGGGCCAAGGAATCGTTATTTTTGGCTTTGTGGGCCACAGAGCTTGTTACAGTTACTCAGCTCTGGCACGGTAGCGTCAAAGCCGCCTTAGACAACATATGAAATGGGTTGTGCTGCTGAGCTTTAGTTACAAAAACAGGCTGCGGACAGGATTGGGCCCATGGGCTGCCCTTTGCCAAGAGATTAGCAGGAAATACCTTCCTGTCTATCGAAGCCCTATCTACCCAGGTGAGAGTTCTGTGGTACGAGGTTTGTTCAGTCTAAAGCAAGCATGTCAAACTTGTGGCTGACGGGCTGCATGCTTCGTTTATTTAAATAAGCGAGTTTGACATGCTTGTTTTAAATGCTGGGTAGACTTAGAATAACACAAAGACCCTTTAAGATTTGGGAGAGCAAGACTAACCTGGGGGCTCCTTACTCCTACTTTTAAGATAAGGGAGAGCAAGACTTCAGCAGGGTCAGCGGTGTACTTACAATTCAGAGAACGCAGGGTGCTCAGAATGAATTGCCAAACATATCAAAATAGAGCTAAGCAGAAGCAATGAGGAAGTTAGGCCACAGCACAGAAACACCTAGTATTGATTGAGCTACAAACCGTAGTTTGATTATGGCCCATAAGGTAGAAGCAAGCCTCCCCGAGCTTTTCATTTCTCATACATGCAGCGATATTAGGAGGTATCATTGCTGTAGAAGGGAGGGCCCAGCACCAAGAACAGTCAGAGAGAAAGAGAGAGAAAGAGAAAGAGAAAAAGTTGAACATTTAGATTCCCTGTAACAAAGAGGAAAGAAAAAAAATCTGCATTTGTTAACATAGGGCAAAGAGAGTTTATTTGTCCAGTCAGACAGTCTAAGGCAACACTCAAATAAGGCTGCAGAAACCGCAATCAGAACAGTGACGTTTTAGACAGCCATAGAAGGTGACTCGGGACCCAGACAATAGATGCATCCTTTTTTCTTTCTTTCTTTCTTTTTTCAAACAACTGGGACAATGACAGGCTGGCAGAGGAGAGCATTTAACAATAAACAACAAAAGAACAAAGTGCCCTCCCTCCCCCCTGAAGACCACGGCTGTTAAATTAAGTACAAAAAACTCATTACAAAAATAGCCTCACAGAGAAGCAGGTTCCAATCAAGTCAGAAAAATATTGGAACTTAACATATTATAACCCATTTGTGACTCTAATCACTAGAATTAGAGATTCAGTCCAAATGACACATGGAGACATTACAGCAGCACAACCCTGGCATGTTCAACCCTTCTTGGAAAACCGAGCATTTAAATGATCTTTATTTTTAGCCCAAAGAACATTTATTAGTGTTGGATTTTCATCCTCAGTGCAACAGACACAGGTTTGGAGAGGGTACAGAGGTTACTGACGGTGACTCTGAAATGAAATATCACATCCAACAGAAGCATAGGGAGGACAGAAAAGGGAGACAGCGTTACAGTTTCAGGGCATCCATACACCTATCAGGGTTCCATACCCAGCACAGCTGTAACATCTCAGTGTTGTTAGGCTACCTTCCCTGTGTGTGGTTGGCCATGTCTGAGGGGGCCTCATCTGATATGCCACCCCCACTTTGGGCCCCTCATATTTTGCACCTGGATGTCCCAACACTTGGGAAGGCTACCCTTCAAAGGAGTTAGCCTTGTCCTTGAGCTGTATCTGAATTAAAGATCTCTTCAAGTCCAAAATGCAGCTGGGAATTGTGCAGAGTGACTTTCAGAAAAGAGGGTGATAACAGATAAAATCCCTAATAAAGGGGACTGACGCATATGGGGACCATTCAATCACAGTTTCTATAGAAACTTTTGTAGACCTTTGGTTGGGAAGAAAAGCCCTACATCTAGGGCATAGCTTTTTTTTTTTAAATTTTAAACAAGAATCTCAAATAAATAGGACATAATTATTATAATATACAATATTTTGCCATGAGGACACTAAGCTATTTAAAGATCCTTGCTGTTCAGTCAAATCATGTCTATAGATATGACGAAAGAACTTTATGCATAATCTGGCTTTCCCCATAGGAAAGGTATAGTCACGTGTTTCCCTCATGATGAGCACTGGGAATCTATTCCATCCTTTATCATTTAAAAACATATGGCTAACATAGCAACAGTTTTGTTTGTTTTCTACGAGTGGGCTCAGGTAGTCTCATTTGGGGCAGCAACTGGAGGGGGGTCGCAGAAGTGTTGTATACAGAGCATAAAGGAGGTGAGCAAGGCTCCCAAATCATCTCAGAATTTCACGTCTCATAAATAAGACATCAAGTAACCACAAAAGAAAAAAATAAAAAGAATTGTGCCTCAACATATCACTCAGGAAACCTGCTTTCCTGCTTCTTAAAAGGAGTAGAGTCATTTTGTGCTAACAATTGGATCTGAGAAACAGTTTGGCACAGTTCAAACAATCATTCCTTCGCTCTTGGTCGGACTAGACAAAATGTTTTCTCTGATTATCAGAAAGGGGGCTATTAAGATCTTGTCTTAGGCCATGCCCCAGTCCATGGAAGGCAAGCAAAAGGATGAAATGTGTAGAGGTTTCAGAACAAGCGAGGCAAATAATCACATGGTGCGGAAGGCTGGTAAGACACTGGTGAAGAGGGGAAACAAAAAGACTTTCCTGCTGCAGTTCTGGAGACAAAGTCATGGAGTCATGCCAGGGAAGGAGGGGAGGTTTTCATAGTTTGACCCACCATATTCTGGTACCGAGCCGTCGCCCCGCTTCAGAGACAGACGCACTCTGCGGCCTCCGTTCTTAATCAGTTCTATAGCCCGAGAATGCTTCATGTTTTTGGTGGTTTCACCATTGATCTCCAAAATTTCGTCACCGATCTGTCCAAAGCAAGAGAGAACAAAGTGAGAACACCACACAGGGTTTCACTGGCTATTGAGGTGCTTTATAGTTGAAAGTCTTTCATTTATTGATTTCCCAAATATTGTTTGCCAGAAAATCTTCTATTGCTCAGGATGCAGCAGTGAAGACAACAAAAAACTCCACAAAAATTCCTCCCTGATGGAGATGACATTCTAATGGGGGAAATACAATTAACGCGAAAATTAGAAAAGTACATCTATGTTAGATAGTATCTGAGAACCAGTTTGGCACATTTCAAAAAATCATTCCTTTGCTCTTTGGTTGGACTAGACCAAATGTTTTCTCTGATTATCAGAAAGGGGGCTATAAGTGCAAAAGAAAAATTAATAAAGCTATCAAGGGGAATGTTAATTATTGAAGGAAGGAGGATGTGGTAAGCTGCTTCCAGGATGGCCCCCAATGAGCCCCACCTTCTTGTATTCACATCTTATGTATTCTCCTGCCCTTTGAATGTGGGTTGAAATTGGTGACTTGCTTCTAACAAACAGTATATGGCAAATGCGATGAGAGGTCAGTTCAGACATAAGGTTACAAAATGAATCTGGCTTCGGTCTCACTTGCTCTCTTCTGTTCTCTCACTTTCTCACTCGGAGGCATGCTATGAGCTGCCCTGCGCAGTCCATGCTAAGGACACGTGGGAGCGCTCAGGCCAGCAGCCCAACAGGCGCTATATTTTGCCAATGACTCTGTGAGTGAAGCAAACCCTTCCCCAGCTGAGCCTTCCATGCAACAGCAACCCAATCCGGTTGATAACTGACTGCAGCATTTACTGTGTATCAGCTGCTCCTCCAGACACTAGAGCAAAGGAGTAACCAAGACCGACTAGATCCTTGCACATGAAGCTTGTAGTTCCAGAAGGCAGAAGAGCAGCACTGGCTTTGGACCTATCACTATTAGCTACGTGACCTTGCTCAAGTCCTTTTAACTGTGAAAGGAGATGATAATACCATGCCTACCAAGCTGAGGGTGTCAGATCGGACAAATGGGTTATGATCTATACAGCATTATACAAAATGTCAGGACAATGGTATTTCATTCAATCAGAAACTCTTTTTAAAGTGAGTAAAGACATGGAAAAGCATATCCAATGTGTCTGGAGCTTAAACAAAAAGTATATGTACACTATAAACTTGCATAGGCACACACTGTGCATATATATGCATAAAGGAAGCATATATAAGAAACTTATAAACAGTTTGATCCTGGAAACTGTATTTTTACTATGTACCATTTTTCACTGTTTAATTTTTTAAAACAAGCTACATCATCTACTTCTCAATGTGGGGGAAACTCGTTAAAAAATTCAACCTGAGGAAACGTAAAAATCAAGATTGTGTCTTAAGTACAAGTATTAAATTCCCTACCTTTAGTCACTTTTTTCCTTTTTCTGCTCAGGCTTAATTTTATTCACTTTTTTCTTTTACTGACCTGACTTCTGATTTTTTTAAAATTCACTGCCAATTATTTCCTATATGTGTGTCTCAATCTATGTGACTTATCTATAATGTGATGATTTTTCTTTAGTCATCTAATCTGCCCAGGAGAGCAACGCATTCATATACAATAGCAGATACTATCTAAACAGAGCAGAGTGGATCCTTGCATTTGTGTATTTAAATTTTGTAGCTCTGACTACTACAGAGTGACCCCGAATAGCCATGCCATGGAGCAGTGGTGCCTTTTCTGAGGCAGAGTCAGCAGGCTCCTGAGGCTAAGGTGAGATGGTGGGTGACCAGCCAGAGACGAAATGGAGCCCACCACTCAAAGCCTGCAGAACTGCAGGCCTTTCTGCTCTCTAAGCCAGAACCGCAGGCCTTCCTGCTCTCTAAGCATCCTGGTCCAGCCAGGAATTCCTGTGAAGTGATGTGTGTGCCTAATGAGACTAAGTATAACAACGATGGAAATGGGATTCAGAAATATCTCCTTTAATAATTTTGTAAGTAATTTTAATCCATTCAACCTCAAAGAGTAGAAGGGGTTCACCTAACTTCAGCAGCTCCGGCTAACTATGTTTCAGGGAGAGATTTACGCTCGGATAGGAGTCATGCATCTCAAGTATCCTGAAAGCTGTAGAAAATGTAGTTCTCATGAAGAAGGTTCTAGCCATATAATGTCAAAAAGTCACTGCCGATGACGTATTTACATCTACTCCGGATTCCTCTTCCAACTTACCCTCATCTTTCCACACCTTTCGGCAGGACCATCCTCTGCCAAGCGCAGAACATAGAGGTCCATGTTATACTCTCGGCCCCCTCGAAGACTAAAGCCAAAGCCCTTGGCTCCTCTTTCCAGGTCCACAGTGTAAAAATCCTGCTCCTAGTTCAAGACATGAAATGGAATCATTCCGGGAGAACTTACACCTGCCCCTTTCTCTCCATCTCTTCCCAAACATCCTCTATTATGCCGATTTGACCAAAAGGCACCATCACTACCCCCTCTTGCAGATTTTCAATTGTTTATTAATATCCATTAACCTGAGAAGTTTGAAGATCCAGAATTTGAAAACATTCATGAGTGTGCCTGTAGACTGCACACCAACATGTATATATTAAAATTTAACCAGTGAAGCGCAATTTGCCATTTATGGCAGGAAAATTCATTACATGATACCCTGCACATTGTTGGAGGTTCAACCTCCCCGCCCAATACCCCCAAAATGCCAGTGTCCACTGTTAGGGTATCAAAAGGCTCAGAAGGCCAGTCGACAAGGAACCTGTTGAACTTTGCAACAATGTTTCCCAAATTGGCTTCACCTGCCATTATTTGTGCCCCCGCCATTACCCTATATGGTTCAGGTATTAGGTCTGTGGGTCCCCCCTGAAATTCATGAATCTGAGAAACACCTTAAGAAAAAGATATTTTCTTGGCATAAATGCAGTTATGAACACCATGAGTAGCTATCAGCTGTTTTGCTCTTGCTCTTCTATTGGTCACCAATTGCAGCTTTTTATTTTGTTGGTTCCTCCCCTGTTCTCCCCCTCCCCTGGAAAAGGATATCTGGGAATATTTTTCAAAGGTAGTAAAATAAATGTCATTTCCTAGACAACCAAATGTGAGCACGTATTCAGTACATCCCCTCACAAAAGGTTATTAATTTTAATTGAGGTACCTTGTAAAATATCTCATAAAAACAGCTTCAGAAAGCCGGAAGGAAACGTGGAAAGCAAAGCAAACAGAGAAACGGCCTCACCTGTGTTGCCTGGGGTGCTTTGAACTCAAACTGAGATTCCGGCTTTGGTTTGGTGGTGTTCCTGCCAAAGTGAGAGAAATAAATATAAAGACAACCTGTGGGGAAACTGAGAAAGAACCCAGGAGGAGTGTCGTCATGCCAGGAGCTACTTATTGCCTTTAAACTAACAAAGCCGGGTCTGACCTGGTCTCCTGGGCCCCCTGCTGAGAAGGGGTGTGTGTGGTGGTGATGGTGGCGATCTTCTCCGCGTTGGTCAGCAAAGTGGCATTCGAAGACTCTGCGGGATGAGACAGCATTACGAAATGAGGACCCTGGAGAAGACACCCCCATACTGGGGGGGGTGCCGAAGCCCTGTATCTGAGGGACAGGTGGGCTTCTCTGTAACCATTTCAAGCAGCTCTGACTTGAATTTCTAAACAATTAAGAGTCTGAAGAATCATTTAAAGATACTCTATGATGTGAGCCATGTATACCCCGTTACCCTTCTCCCAACAAGACATCCCCACAAATCAAGTTTGTCTAAGGAAATACCCTAAAATTGCAGCCAAGGCAGGTGCCTCTCACTCTGCCCGCCACTTAAAAGTGACAGTCCCATCAAAACACTGTATCCCCAGAATTATATCCCAGAATTGGACAGACTCATTAGATACATTTCCTGCAATGTATTAGCAATATTTAGTGACTATGTTTAATTTCCTCACGTGAAGATTAAAATTAGAAGTGTGCTAACATCTTGTTAAACGCACACACACCATCTACCTTCTTGTCCACTGCTTTTAATGAAGTGCAACTGAAAATGTGGAGTTCTTGACAGATCTCATCTGGTATCACTTATGAGAAATTAATTTAAAAACTTGCATTTGTTAGAGCCGGAGCTTGTAAATACAAGCTGTATAAATCATGAAGTCACCCTAACGTAATAACTATGATTATATTCCTATGTAAATTGATTTTCTTCTTCACTAACCACATACCTAAGCAACTTCATTAGTCTCTAAAGTATGGAGATGCAGATGTTGAAGACATGAGCATGCCTATACGCTACACACCAACACACACAAACAGTCAAATTTAATCATTCATATAGTAATGCTTATGTATTCTTTTATGAATTGTTTCTCCATTATGATCAAGGCAGATAGCAAGTGACTATGAGCAAGCTGTACTTTAAATATTTATTTTTAGGTTGACTGTAACATGGCATAAATTTTCTATTTTAGAAAATGCTAACTATGGTGGTTAGAGTCTAAGATTTGCCTATAAATGCCTGTTTAATTCACAGTGTGATAGGAAGTCTAGAATCAGAGGCACTTCGATGTTTGTCAGATACATGTATCTCCCCATCATGTGTAACAAAGTGCCTATGAGAAAATATGTCAGGTCTCACCAACTGGGATATCAGGACTGCATTTCTTTTCACTGCAGTCACGGGTGAGAAGACATCCCTCAAATCCCAACCACTTGTGGCCTGCCATTATGTGTTCCTGCTGTTATACATAGTTGTTAAAAGCAAGAGCTTGAGATTTAAACCCAGGTTCAAATCTTCCTTTCCCCACCCATTAGCCGTGTGACTGATTTTCCTCATCTGCCAGAAGGGGATGATGCTAGTAATTCCCTTCTCTTGGATCAAAGCAGATGAAATGTTTAGTACAGTACCTTCCCTATAGTAAGCACTCAGTACACATTTACTGAAGTTATGGCCCTTGCCATGCTTCTCCTTTTTGTTTATTGCTGTGGAACTTGTATAAATTATTTAAATTCTTAGCAAAATGAGAAAGTTGAAATAAGCTGTGACTAGTTTGTATTCCAACCATAGAGCCCACAATTCTTAGAGCCCACAATTATTACTTCTTACAAGATTAATAAGAAATGTAATTTGCCTTGGCCAGTGGCTCAGCTGGTTGGAGAACCATCCCATGTACCAAAAGGTTGTGGGTTCAATTCCCAGTCAGGGCACATACCTAATTGGCAGGTTCAATCCCCGGTCTGGGTGCATACATACAGGAGACAAGTGATGTTTCTCTTTTTCTCTCTCTGTCTCTGTCTCTCTTTCTCCCCCCCTCTCTCTAAAAAAATTAATAAAAAAGCATATACTTGGGTGAGGAGAAAAGGAAAATGTAACTAGATCAAATGAACTGAAATGTGTATCTTATTCACAGGTTAGGACAGTGTTTCTCACAATCTATTTCGCCAAATATTTCTACAGATTCTGAGGGAAAAGGAACACGTGGTCAGTTAAGAGTGAGAAATAATAGGTGACAGAGAGAAATGTTTCTGCATATCTGCATTTTCTTTTCCCGTGGACTCCTCAGAGCCCCCCCCCCCCCCGAGCCTTTTAAAAGAAATCCTCACCTGAGAACATGTTTAGAGAGAGGAAAGGAGAGAGAGAGCCTTTAATTATGTCAGCTGCCTTGCAACCCTCTGAGTTGGGGAGGTGGGGCTTCTCAAGTTATTGGGAGGCAGCTTAGCATAATGGTAACCAGGTCAGATCCTAGGTCAGACTATCTGGCTTTGTATCCCAACTCTGCCATTTACTGGCTGGGGCTTAAGCAAAGTTAAACTTTATGCCTCAGCTTCCTCCACTGCACACGTGGGGTAACAGTTGTGTCTTAGGGAACTGGTGCAAAGATTATCTGAAAGAAAAGTGTGATAGTGCCTGGAACATGAAAACTGCCCCCAAAATGATGAGCGTATTTTTTATGGTAGCATGTGTTCATTACTATTAAAAGCATATCTTTATGACTGCGGTTACGTGGTACAGCCAAGGTGATAAGGGTAAGATCTTTCATCAAGCCCGCTACTGTGTGAGCACAGAGCACTAGGGCCGCAGCCTCTCATTACGACTCACCAGGAGTTTCCAAGCACGTGTACTGGTCCTTTTAAAAAACCTGATATTACTCATTGTAATTAACTTTATGGAGACTCTCTGGGAAATCAGAAGATTGTTCGGGCCCTGGGGAAATCATAATCAGGAAACCAATATGGATGTTTCCTTGTAATTAAAGTGAATATACCAACGAATTGTGAGGCCTCTCAGGTGCATGTGTGGCCTCAGTGACCAGTCTCCCAGGCAGATCACATCCCATCTCACACCATTTTTATATTTCTGTGCTTTCGTGTTTGCTGAGATACAACAGATGATTACCCAATACGCATATAAACAACTATTTTATTAATTTTCTTCCTAACCTTCACCTGCTATTTTCACCTACTTATATGCAAATCTGGGGTTGAAGCTAAACTTTAAGCAATTTAAAAATTAACATTTAATATGCAAATAGCTATTTGAACTTCCTAAATTGTCTTGTTTTTATTAACCTATAAACCACCACTATTTCCTAATCATTTACAATGAGTCAAGAACTGTACTAAGTGCATTAAATTCATTTAATTCTTACAGCTCAATGAAACAGGTGGCATTAGTACCCCCATTTACAGATGGAGACATGGGGGCTTAGAAAAGACAGGTAATATGTCCAAGGTCATCAGAGAGCAACGGAGGCCCTGGCAGCTTCAAGTCTTCAGTTAGGATTAACAAAGACGTGAAGTGCTGAGATTCTCTCTAGCTTTTTAAAATACAGCGGTGAAGACCACTTTCATAAATTTATAGCTCTAGCCCAAAGCAAAATTTGCCCGGTAATAGCAAAACCATTAAACCCAGGGCTCTGATATAAGAGCAGGTTCCAGCAGCAGTACTACGAAGGGGTGGCAATGTATTTGGCTTTTAAAACTCCAAGGCAGACAGCCAGACTGGCTGTTTTTATGATACATTCCAGAAAGTACCCCACAGCCTTCATTAAACCGTGTTTACACCCACTGCAGCTCCCTCAGAGCAATGGAAATGGCTATCGCCATTCTTCCCATGGCAGTCGTGCACCAAGAAAGCACATGGGAGCCCTGGCGGTGCTGTCGGGGCGCTGTGCTCAGCCAGGCCCTGACTCCTGACAGGCTGTCTCTCTGGGGCTTCAGCAGAGCTCCGCCACCAGATTCCAATTCTAACCTGCTCCCCGGCACTTCCTCAGCCGCCCTGCCGGAGTCCACATTACAAAGCCACACAAACCAACAAAGGATGCACTCCCTCCTTTCTTAAGCACTGAATGCACAAATAGTGGAAGAAGGCCTTTGAAAACGTGAATCCCAGCAATAATTGAAAAGCTTTGGGAGATTTTTAAAATGTGTATGATTGGAAGCTGTTCCTTTTGCCTGAGTCTATGTTAGCATCATATCCATAGAGCCTTCTATTAAGATAAACTTACACTAGTCTGTGTCTTTTCCAAGGAGACAGCAATACCTATGTCCAAGCCCTGCCTCCTATGAAACAAATACTCTGAGACAAGGTGATCATTACTGTGGAGAAGGCTGGGAGAGAGAGAGAGAGAGAGAAAGGAAGGTAGAGAAAGAGAGAGGAGGAGGAGGAGGAAGGAGAATTGGGAGAAGCTGCAGAGTGAGGAAATTTATGATCATATATTTTTAAGCTCATAAATATTCTCATTATCTTGAACTGGATTCAGTTTGATGAGTCCATGTTAGCCTGGCGCAGTCAGGGTATCCAGACTTCACAGGGTAACCCTAGACGACACAAGTGGTAGGAAGTAGGTGTGGTTGACTTGTTGATTGCAAGTTCAGATTCAGTATGTTCAGCTATTCTCTGGGCCTTTCTGTGATGTCACTATGTATTTCCTGTCCCTTACCCTTATCTCATAGGAGAAAATGTTCTGCCCTGCCCTGGTCCCAGAGGAAGTAAAAGCAGAGATGTGAGAACTCCCCTGATCTAGGTCTGCCCAACATCATCCGTGAAGGCAGGCCTTCTAACAACAGTGTCACAGAACTGTTATTGGAGGGGGCTGGCAGAGAGAGAGAGAGAGAGAGAGAGAGAGAGAGAGACAGAGAGATACGATGGGAGGGAATGGGAGGGGAGGAGGAAGAGGAGGAAGCGGGGGAAGAAGAATTAGAAGAAGAAACAGAGTGAGGAAAACTAGTGAAGTTGAAGAAAAAAAATAAAGGTGAATGATGACAAGAAAAAAGAATTAGGCAACGTAAGTATGATAAAGAAGTGGATTCGGAATGGGTTCCAAGCACTGTCCAACCAAGAATGCATCCTCCTCAAGTGCCTCCTAGGGTTTCTGAGAACAGTTCTCTGGACAAGAGGGATTTCTCAGAGCTTAAGAAACCACGCTGATTAAGAACTTCCGTCTCCTCACGAGGATCGTGAAGTAAACTGTCTTTGGGCTCCCTGAAGAATTAAGCATTAGAGTGAAGGATCTGAAGGAGACCAGCGGTCCCTGACACAGAGAGAGCACCCCCTTCCCCCACCACCTACCATGGCCAACACACTTTCACAGAGAGGGACCCACCATGAATTTCACTCTCTGCCTCTAGGTGTTTGCAAAACTCTCCTGGATTGCTTCAGCATCTCCCCAGAAATCTAACTCCCCTGCCTCAACTGTAATCTCCAAGAAAGTGATTTTTTTTTGCCCCAGTTAAAAGATGAGTATCACAAATCCACCCTCTGCTGGATTCCACTGCCTTCTCCTGGCCTCCAAAACTTACAGAGTAACTGATGGAGAGTTTTATCACCATGGCAACGAATTCCTATAGTGTCTTCAATGAAATCACAGCCTCCACAGGGCATCAGCCCTTCACTATATTCTATCAACTTCAATGCTTGCTTTCTTCTAACCAAGACAGTCTATCTAAATTTTATACTTTTGAAGTATTCAAGTTTAGAAAAAAGTGTTTTTTTTATTGACAACTGTTATTGATAATTCACCTTGCATTATATTTTTTTTGGTTCAGGTTTTCCAAAAATATTTTTCATTGCACTTTAAAAAAATTAGGTCAACACCTAGTATGTGCACAGTATAAGGTGCTTTTGCATATTTCTGTCTTTCCTGATTTTAAACTCTTTTGCTAAGCCCTTCCTTCAAGGAGTGCTTTCTTTCCTTCCTTTTTTGACATCCTCATTTCTACATTACGACTGACTAACATAGATCCAGCAAGTCAATTCCTATGCCCAGTTCTTTTGGATTAGTTTTTGAAATTTGTCCATGTGTCTGAATTTATATACTCGTTGGGCTCTCTCAACCATTTCTTCCTTCATTTCTCTGGCTTCCTTCATCCTTCCATTAGGAACCTCTGTCTTACCATATGTGGTCACTCTCCTACACTGTAACAGCTTCCCAGCCTGGTGACTGGGGACTGACTCCAGACCAGCTGCTCCTCCCCTAACTGTGCCTGGGAGGCCGGCTGAAGCACACCACCATTCAAGGAGCTAATTTTCCCTCCACATTTCAGGTGAGGTATTTTTGGTGCAGAGTAAGTTCTTTGTCTTGGAACTAACAATTTTTAGTGTTACTGTTCAATTTTGGACTTTTTCTGAAAGGCACAGTCTATACTACTTGAATTTTAAACTATAAAGCTCATGTCCTAACAATTCATATATACAAATATTCATTTGGTGAATTACCTTCAGATAAAAATCTACTTTAATTCTTTTCTTTTACACATCAGTGGCATAGAATTTTTATGACACTAGCTCCATAAAACCACATTTCGTCTTGAGAAGTACTCGCTGACTTTTAGAATATACATGGCATCCCCAAAAATGTATATACACTTTGAATAATTATTAATTCCAATGGGTTAAATCTGAAAAGAAAGAAACATCAATTGAGCCATCAGCTGTTAAGTTTGCATACATTTTTGGGGATACCCTGTATATTTTATTTTATCACATGCATAGCAAAAGAGGAAAAAAAAAAAAGGATTGGAACATTTTGGGACAGGTATCAGTTTTCTCCCAAGAGCCAAATCTGCTTAGAATGAATTCAATATATAGGACTTAATTCTCAGATGAATCTATACTTAGTGAGGTATCAGCTTCATTTTTATTAAATATGAATAACAATGAGTATTGTTATTTTAGCTGGATAGCTTTTCATTGTGGGGGGGCGGTGTACACTCTAAGATGTTCAGAAGCATCCCGGGGTTTACCCATTATATGCCATTAGCACTCACTCCAGACAGTGCCACATGTCCCTGAGTGGGGGTGGGTTGGGGGGTGCAAGGGGTGGGATCACCACTGCCATAAAAGAACCAAAGATTTGAATATAACCAACCAACCAAACAAACAAGGATGGGCCTAGCTTAATATACATATAACCTACAATTAAACAAAAATTACAGAGATTTAATTATATCTTCATTCACATGTAAAAATTAGCAACAAATCAAGGATGCACAAACCCTAAGACTCTTCCAATGAAATAAAACATTTGATACATTCACTTATTCTGAAAAGACACCCCTGGCTCTGCACTGGCGTTATGTAGACTCTGTGATGTCACCACATTACACATATATTTAGTGATTGTTTGAAAAAAATCCTCAGTGATGTCCAGATAGAACATCAGGAGACCTTTACCACCTGTATTCAAATGATTCTATTGTTTTAAAGACACGGGCACCAAAACTAAAATAAATTGGGAAAACTGGAAGGTTTTCTGAAATGTTTTTATATCTGCAGCAAGGTAGGTATTAAGGGCTAGAGCAGTGGTTCTCAACCTTCTGGCCCTTTAAATACAGTTCCTCATGTTGCGACCCAACCATAAAATTATTTTCGTTGCTACTTCATAACTGCAATGTTGCTACTGTTATGAATCATAATGTAAATATCTGATATGCAGGATGGTCTTAGGCGACCTCTGTGAAAGGGTCGTTCAACCCCCAAAGGGGTCACGACCCACAGGTTGAGAACCGCTGGGCTAGAGGATTTAAGTAAAGGGGAGGTAAAGGTTTAGTAACAATGGCTCACATTTGTTTGATGGCTCTGCTCAGTTAGGGATGGATAAGGCTGCCTCTAAATCAACACTATTCAATTACATGTACACCAATGACACAGAGGTGAGAGACAGAGAAAGAAAGAGATAGAGACACAATAGTATACTTTACCATCCCCGGGAATGATGCGGAGGGTAACAGTGTTTCCCGCTTCCTTGATTAGGTTGACAATGTCTGAATGGGACTTGTTGGTGATGGAACATCCATTTACTGCCAAGATCCGGTCTCCTACTTTCAGCTTGCCACATCGGTCAGCAGGGCTCCCCTCAATAATCCGACCTATTTTGTGAGGCATAGCCACACATGCATTGCCTGCTTTGATAGTGAGTTTTAATTTTTTTTAAAGTTACGTGGGAATATAGTACAGGGAGGAGAAAAAGGGTTGAAAAGGGAAAGAGAAGGTTAAGTGTTAATTCATTAAAGCATTAAGCAAATGTTATTAAAGGAGAGCTCTGCGCCGATGGTCAAAACATTGGCAACATTCAGGGCATCCGTGGGAGAAGCCACTGCCCTGACCTGCAGTCGTTTCCTGATTCAAAATGAGGGGGAAATCCCCGCTCCCCTCCTTACATCAATTATAAAACCTGGGGTATTTCACAACTTCAAAGATTCTCAAGAGCCCCCCAAATAACTTGCCGTGGACTGACTGTGGGACTTCACATGTGACCCCAGGGCTGGGAAGGGTGCTTCTACACATGCTGTGTGCACGCCACGCCACTTTGCCAGCTGTTCTTTAAGCTTCTGCCAATGTTTTGTTCTTTCTCTATTTAGAAGAATAATCACTGGGAGTCTGGTGAGGCATGAGATCTGCTAGCACCAAAGATTCAATCTGAGAATGCCTACTGGACAAACACTTCCACTTCCTGCCTTCTCTCCAGAATGGCGAAAGCTTTAGAAAAGCAAGAGATGAGCCAAGACAGCCCCCAACCTTGACATCTATTTTTGCTTTCATGACCTTTGCTCAACCATCCTATCTTGTGTTTTCAGGGTAGGGCCCAATGGCTCATGAGCTGTGAAATCCTCCTCCATCCTCACAAAACCCCCCACAAGGGACTAGGAAGATCTAGTACAGTGATGGCGAACCTTTTGAGCTCGGCGTGTCAGCATTTTGAAAAACCCTAACTTAACTCTGGTGCCATGTCACATATAGAAATGTTTTGATATTTGCAACCATAGTAAAACAAAGACTTATATTTTTGATATTTTATATATTTAAATGCCATTTAACAAAGAAAAATCAACCAAAAAAACGAGTTCGCGAGTCATAGGTTCGCCATCACTGACCTAGTACCTACTCAGACTGAGGATGGTGACCCACACAAAGCTAGGTTCAAACCATTCCTCACCCTGTTTCTTCAATCATTTCCTCTCTCCTCGTCAGCTACTACTCGTTTGCAACATGAAAAACCAGAAAGAGTGCATTTGAAGAGGAAGGTTTATTGTGCACTTTGAGGGATTCCATGTCTCAACCAAGAGTATTGCTAACTTCTAGAGAGAGGTGGGAAATTGGCTTCGAAGCCTGACACAGAGTTTTCAGCTAATCGTATATTTAGTTTCAGTGTTTCTTATGCACATTCACCTATTTTGGGAATTTGTCTTTCTGGGGACTCTGAAGATAGGTAAGCAGTTGAGCCACCTTTTGGAAAGGGTGACAAAACGAGCATAGGAGACACCGAAACTGAGTAGGCTCTCCCAGCATCATTGGGACCTTGAGGATAAAATGTGTGGGGAAAAGGAGCTGTAAGTCCTTTGAATTTCAGAATATTTGCCCGAGTTTGTTTTATTGGATGTAACATTATGGCGAAAGAATTTTTTAAAAGGAAATTAAACAGTTTTTTTGGATACCACAGGCAGATGTGGTGGAAAGCTTCCACACTTAGTTCAAGGTCTTGGTTAAGTTTTGCCCATCTCCAAGGACAACTCGCATGGGAAAGGTATCAAACAGCAGGTGTGAGGAAAGCTCTGCGTAGCTCAGAACAGAAGTGTCATGCAAAGTATTAGGGACAGTTTAATACATTCATTGCAAGAACCAGAGGAAAACAATCAAAGACCAATTGTGAGTGAAGACAGTCTATATTCATTAACACATAGCCTCCCACCGGACATATCTGCTACTTCTTTCTAGAAAGTGAAACAGAATTCTGAAATCCTGAGAACACCAGAGGGTGGGTGCATGGGGACAGTGAAGATAGGGATCTGAAGAAAATAACTTGGGAGTTCTCACTCCCCTGCCTTTCTTCTTATTTTTAAATTAAGCAGAAAAGTCTCCAAAACAAAAAACACCTTGCCTTGATGTCATGTCACCCATCCATGATATGGATTATTAAAGTAGCTCACAAAAGCACTGTTAGTAATGGGTGCTTGTTACTGCAGCCACACATGCACAGACCTGCTGACTGTCTCCTTGTGGCCAAACCTTAGGGAGACCGGCTTTAGCAGGACGGAAAGGGCAGAGACTACATGGAGGCAAGGGGGTTCCTCAGACGCAGGAAGCTAAAGGGATGGGCCACCTCGCTGATCTTAGCCAGCAAGGTCCTCAGACTCCTTGTGGGTGAGGCGTTTGGGGATAGAGCTGAGGTACATTTCAAAGTCTGCACAGCCCTCCTGCCTCCCATCACAGTCTATATTCATCGGCAAATGTGCGTGGGGAATAACAAATTACTTTATCCAATGAAGAAGGGGGATCATTCTTGGAGCACATACTTATAATCCATTCAATCGGAAACAGATTCATAGATTACTAGTTCCTGGAATCCGCTGGCTTCCTATTTGTCTGCTGAGAGTAACCTTCTGAGGGTGAAAATACTCTGCTGAAACCCCCACACCTGGGCTAGATGGGAAACTCACTCCTGCTAGAATTCAAGGGCAAGGAAGACACATGACTCTCAGGTTTTAATTAGATTGTTAATCAGGCAAAAGCAAAATTTACTTAAAATTGAAACATTTCAGATGGGGACAGAGTAGAGAAAGGACACAGATCAGGTGGAAAGGGCATTTCATGTAATATTTTTACTTCTTACACCTCTACCTCCTGAGCATTTTTACAGCCATATGCTCCTTAAAACCCTCCTAGACCTTCAGATGCTACTATTTCCCCGTGAGAATTTCTCGACATCAAGGGGTTGCTCTGCACATTGCGTGCAGATGTCAGCATGCTTAGGGGTGCGTGTGTGAACACGCATTCAGAATGGAAGCTGAACGGTTAAAAACCCCCAACCTTCAGGAGGGAAACGCTACCCAACAAACTGCATCCCAATTAAGACTTTAATCACCTGCAGCGAAGAGCAGGGAGGCGGTTCTGTTAATGAGATATTGACCGGCCTGCCTGGCGCCTCGCAAACCCTGGAAAGGGCACTGCCACTCACCGAAGGTCGTGCCCGCCTCGGGCCGGCTCACGGACGACACGATGACGAAGCCGAAGCCCTCGCTGTCCCCGCGCCGGATCTCCACGTCGTAGGGCTGCAGGGCGCTGCCCACGCCGCTGCCACCGCCCCCGCCGCTGCCGATGCCGCTGGTGCTGCCACTGCCGGAGCTCACGGTGTTGAGCGAGTTCTGGCTGCCCTGCGGGGTGCGCTTCTCCTCCGTCAGCGAGGCGGGCTGCGTGCTGCTGTGGTGCGACGAGGCCGGCGAGGGCACCTCTGGCTCGGCTTTGGGGGCTGTGCAGGAGGTGCGCGCTCAGGCCCCGATCTGGCCCCAGCGCCCGCCACCCTTCACCCCCCGCCCCCAGCTCCACGCGTGCACGAAGCCGGGAAATGAGCCTGGCCGCACAGAACCCAGGCTCGAGGGTTTCAAGCAGCTTCTGGAGAAAAGTATTGACTTTCCCGTCTCCACTGGCATGGATGTCTGGGGAAAACGCCAGCACCGGCCACTTCAGCACCCGCACCCGCACCCGCACCCGGGTTCGCACTCGGAGGGATCCCCGCACAAACCACAGGTCACGCAGAGCCAGTGCAGGTTGGCCCACACCACGATGCCGTCCTCGCCCGAGGCCTGACCTTGGCCGCACATTCAGAGTGCCATTACCCTGTCTCAGTTCTACTCAGCTCTCCGGGACCTGCTGTGAATTTCCCATCAGGCAGGAATACTACACGCCTGGGGGCTTCCCCACGGCGCCGGGCGCAGGTGTGCTTCCTGGGGCCAGCCTCACTGATGTACTCAGCACAACACAACCCAATACCCTCAGAATTCCCGGTCTATGCAACTGCAGTTTGATGGCTAGGTCAGGTGACAGGGTAAAACACTCCTAAAGAGCCACAGGAGTTGGTGAAACCAACTTATGTTTCGTGCCAAAAACAAAATGTGTGTTCAGCTTTTGGGTAAGACTGTATTTATTCTGGAAAGCTCCTCCTCTCATAGATTTCCATCTTATTGTAGTAAAATACAGAGACCATAAATTTTTAACTATTTTTAAGTGTACAGTTTAGTGGCATTAAGCACAGTCACACTGTTGTGAACCATCACCACCTTCATCTCCAGAACTCAATCACCTTCCCAAACGGAAACTCTACCATTAAAGGCCATTGAACCGTTTCCCGCTCAGCAGCCCCTGGCAACCACCAGTCTACTTCTTGATATAAACCTGTCTGCCTAGTGCCTCATGAAAGTAGACTCATATGACATTTGTCCTTTTGTGACTGGTTAAATTGTCTTTTAATAGATTTAATATATCTTTGACCCAGAGCTAAAAACCCCAAACACTTAAGGATTTAAAAATAATTCTGGAATAAAAATCACATTGCTCTACTACTTTTATTTGGTGAAGTAAAAAAGTGTTTGCCACATCTCAAAAGCCACTCTGACTGCTGTTGGCTGCAGGGAATGCTATGTGAAGAAAGACGGACTGGCCTGCCCTGGAGGCCTCGGAACCTAGCTGATTACCAGTGGTTTCCAGAGCTGCAGTAGGCAGGACTCTTCCACACTGGAATCTGACGCCTTCTGTAATTAATTATATACGATTTAAATGAGTTACACCACTTTTTTAAAAACAAGGTGCCAGTTGATTTTATCTCAGTATTTGTTTCACTAATATTAAAACTACGGAGAACTCGTACTATGTGACATCACACTTCTTCAGTAATTCCACTGATACAGCACTGAATGTGGTTCTACTGCCTCTGGGTTCTGTCTTAACCATGGGGAGGGGGCTGCAGACAAAGGCGAACCACCGAGTGCTCCCAGGGAGCTGGTGAGAGAAGGGCGAGGGCAGACACACGGTGAGCTGTCACTGAGCGGCGGGTGTGACACAGACGGAAACCCTGATTCACAAGAATGGCAAGGAGGGAAGCTAAAATCGAGGCAGGTGGAGGGAGGAGGGACTGTCCAAGACGGTCACAGGTATGTAGTATTTTGAAGCTTGTAGGGGGAAGAATCACATATGACTTAGAACTGGGCAACGCTTCCCCTTTCTTGTAGAGAGAAAAAAATCTCACTTTAACACACGACTGTCAACAATAGAGCACAACCTAATTTTTGCTCTTAATTTGAAAGTCTGATTCTCCTGACTGTCATAATGACCTCTTTTGTTGAGAGTTATCATCAAATGACACAGGAAGGGGTCCTTATCTGTGCACAGAGAGACCATGCCCTGCCTGAAGGCATGAATGAGGAACATACCTGAAAATACCACTTTACGCCGCACTGTGAGGTTGACATGGCCTTGCTTGGCAGCTTGTTGCATAAGCTGGACCACAAGCTGGTGTGACTTTCCAATGACTGGTGTCCCATCCACACAGATTAATTCATCCCCAGACCTCAGGCGGCCATCCGTATCAGCAGCACCCAGTGGTACGATGTGACCGATATAAATCTGTGGAGCAATTGGATGACAGATAAAACAGCGACCTTTTCATTTGCTATTCTACTCAAAGACTTCACATCTCCGGGAACATTTTAATTCATCCCTGTCTGTATCCATACCACAAACACTTCCTAGTGCCCGTGGGATGCCAGGCGCTGGGCTAGGTGCTACAGCAGTTCTCACATGGTGGAGAAAGAACTTTCTCTTGTTTGGTTCCCAGACACTTCTCTGTGGTGATGGTTCTTTTTCTCCTTTGCAGAAATAAAACACTTCATTCCTTTCCTCTGCAAAACCCTTTCTCCTTTTCTATCCACTTACAAACCAGCCTTTCAGAAAACTCTGCTAATTGTAATAGTGGCACTACTTTTCTCCAAAACACAGCACTGAGCCTTGCAATAGCGAGTGCACAATAGACCTGTTAAATGAAGGGGTGAATCAAGCAAGTGTGGTCTGTCATCTGCATTTCTGTCCTTTCAGCACCCGCATCCAAGCAGCCTTTATTTAGTGCCTTATGTTTACCGTCCACTCAGCTTTAGTTAAAATAGTTGTGCTCTCCCTGCCTTCTCCTGAGCTGCCAATGCCACCGCTACCTTTGTGTGACATGCATAGTTTACAGAAAGCTCTGCCAGGTGAGTGGTTAAGAATACGGACTCTGGAATCAGACCCTTTCCAGTCCTTCCATTACTAACTCTGTGATCGTGGGCAAGTCAGTTAACCTTTTGTGTCTTCATTTGATGATTTCAAAAATGGGGAAAACACTCATGGACTTGAAGGATAAATGAGAGAGTGTATGTTAAAGCCTGTGGCATAGCATCTGGCACAGACTAAGCACTCAACCAGTAACAGTTATTTTTATTCTGATGAGGGAATTACCAATACATTTCTTTAGTTCTCTTTTCCCCCTTCAAAAGGATTCTGTGATGTAATACTAAGTTTACTCTAAAGATGAGGCCCAGAGAGGTGAAATGTCTCCTCACTCTTGTTTGGGGTTCTTTCTCTTCTTTTGTAAAGACAGTTGGGCCCAACATTTCTAATCTCTCAACCTGGTGCTCCTCCAAATGCAGAACTGGCCGGAGCATCACATTGTTTTCTTACTGGATCCCGATTCCTTTTGCTTTTTGGCTTCATATTCTTTGATAGCAACTCCCACTTTTCACAAACATGAACACAAACTTTTATAGTGAAACCAAGGGTCCTTATGACTGTGATTAAATTCAGCTATAATCCTAGTCTGGAAATCATGCCTCTCTTTCTAACCCTCGGAGACCTAGCCTTTCTACAGATAATCAGCAACCCCTGAGGTAGCGGAAGACAGGAGCCGGGCCTGACGAATGGTCATGGGCCTGGGCCTCCGGCAGGATAAAGGCAACACCCTGACCTGGGCCAGGTTTCAGCTCCTGAGCCCTGAGGTGGAACGACCCCCTGGCTGCTTCCCCGTGAAACAGACAGGGGGACAGGACACTGTCCTCGAGATCTGAAAAAATAATTCCTCACCCTCACCTCAGCTCCGACCGTCAGCTCCTAGCACAACCCCGAGCCTCCAACACGGTGCCTTGTGATTTTGCCCTATGTAATCTGTGTTCTACACCACCGGGGAGTCCAGGCTTTGAGCATCAGCTTCCGGTTCTCCTGGGTGGTGCACTCATAATGAAATAGCCAGTCTGTCTCCACTGCAATTGTGTCCATGCTTGGCTCTGCCAGTGCCGGTGGGTGAACTCTTTCTGTTCTCTAACCAGTCCCTTTTCCCTCAAGACAAAGGCTCCACAAAACCTAAGGAACAGCCCCTCTGTCTGGACCAGGCGGTCAGTGTGGCACCTGGCTGGACTCGAGACTTGGGGATTTGTTACTGCTGCCAGCACTGTGTGTGTGTGGGGGGGGGGGGGGCCAGGGAGGGGGAGGGGGAGCGGGAAGGGACATAAAAGACTCACAGGTTCCCCTGGTTCATTTCCACCCAGAATCCTAAATCCAAATCCAGTCTCTTTCCTCCAGAGGAAGATGTCCTGTTCTTGGTAATCTGGAACTAGAGGGGGAAGGAAGAGAGAGGTTATTTCTCTGATACAAGGCAGCACACCCCTAAGGTTACAGCTACAGGACCGACACTGAGTGCTTGAGCAGACGACAGTCTTCTAACACAGACAAGGCAACAAACAACAGGACGCTGGGCGAGGGCGGACAGCGGCAGTCGTCACTGAGCACTAAGTTTTTTCAAAGGACTAATCACTGTTTGATAATTCCTAACCAAGCCCGAGCCATTATCCCTGACTAAGCCAGTGGTCAGCAGGGGCATGAATGCAATCACCACAGCCGCCCACGGTGCCCGGGAGAGAGGTGCTAAGCCACTCAGAGGGTAAGTCACCTGATGCTCCATCAACTAAAAGAAGAAAGAGCGTGGGGTGAAGAATGTTCCATTAAAAAAACCAACCAAACCAAAAACACTTCTTTCTTCTTTAAAGTAATCAAGGCCAGCGATGCCAATAATTTAACTTGTTAGATCATTTTTGCCAAAATAAGTTAGTCTTAAACATCCTAATATTTCCAAATTTGCAAAGTTTACTAAGATTTCAGTACTTTACCCAAAAGTCTCCAGCCTTCCATATCTTTAAGATTAACGGTGACAACAAAATTGTTCTGTATCAATGAACTATATTTCATTGTTAGAGTGACTGCTTTACTCCAGAATTTGCCTATAATATTTCATCATTAAAAGTATTAATTTATTATCCAATAACTTGATACTTTACTTTTAAAATTCAATATTTCAGGGTTTTAAAATAAAAAACCTCATTTTTCAAAAGAAAAGCAATTTCCATGGAAACATGCTTACTGTACATGAAATTGTTCTATATACCACTCTGTTACCTATGGCAATAAAAAAGGGTTATTTCTACTTAATTTTTATTTAATAGATAGTGCTTTATATAGTCTATAAATGACATAGCTTCTATTTAAAGAGGAAAAAAATGTAGTTTAGTGGCAGTGAATCTTAAAGGAGATTTTCAAATGTTGTTCTGCAGACTTTCTGGTTTAAGTACTTGCATTTGGGGCTGCAGCGGTGTGCAGACCCCAGCATTTAATTCTCTTCTCCAATTCTGTACAAAGGGCCAGGGAGGAGGAGGAGGCAGTGTTTGCACTTCAAGTTGGAGAGAGGGCCCTTTTTAGTGACTCACCCACAGGCTTAAAATGTACAGCGAATGAATGTGCCAAGAAAGCAGCAGCTAGATAAACAGGGAAGAGCAAGGCAGGGAGGTCTGCCTCTGATATTTCTGCTTGAGCTGTCTTAATGCCGGGGCTTTGAGCAGTGCTTTTCGCCCAGCGCTTTCTTATTATACTCGTGAGCTAAGCTCCCAGAGCCACGGACATGGAGTGGAGCTACAGCGTAGGACTCTCATAGACGCGATTTGAGAATTATATTTCCTTAAGCATGCTAAGGTAACACCTCTTTCTTTCCGTTTGAGTGTCTGGCTACAGGGTATTTAGTGTAATAGACCCATGGAAACAACAAATTAAATCAACTTGGGTCTCCATCGTTGGTTCACTCAAGCAGGATTATTACCAAAATGGACCCTGGGTGCGTCCCAGCGCACCGGGTTCCTGGCAGAGCCTGTGCGGAGTCTGCTGGGCCTCCCTGTGAACAGCCTCTGCAGAGACCTCCAGCCAGACCCGTTTCTCAGCATCATTTCACAGGAGCACATGCCCATCCTACGATGACACCAAACGTAGCAAGTTCTGCCTTATAAAGCTCATTTAGGTGTAAGCTAGCACGGTGTGGGTGGCTGTGGCAACAGACTTAGGCTTATCATACAGGTTAGTCCACAGGAAAAAAGCATTTGTTTCTCCCTTAGAATCAGTGGGAAAATGGCAAATTTATTTAAAAACAAGATGCCCAACGACACCAAGAATGTTGAGGACTGCAGTGATGAGCCAGGAAAACAGAGACACAAGCACAGTACACCACACGTAGGGATGCTGCGAAGGAAGTCTTTTGGCTCCTTAACAATCACACTCCTCTCCCACCGACCAAATGCACACAGTTCGTAAACTTCGGTGACACACGGGATCACAGACTTCCTCCCTCTGTGTCCTCTGCCGCCAGCGGCACTGAGGTGTCTCAACTACTCCTCCCAAATGGTTAGTTCTCTTCTTTATTTCAGGCAGATTCCATCACAATTACATTTTTAGGAGACAGCAGGGTAGAGCCATCTTTCTGATGTTTATATCCCTTTGTCTTTCTTTTGAGTGAGGCTACATCAAAAAGAGCGAGGAGAATCTCGTCCAGCTTTCTTCACCTTTAAGCCCTTGCATAGGAGACCACCTCAGCAGTTAATCTCCTTTGGTCACGTAAGTGACAACACAATAAAGTGCTCAAAAGACTTCCTTTGCTAATTAGACGGATGGAATCACCAGGTTTGCAAAGAAACCTCCTGGTGCCTCCATTCCTGCAGACACACATTTCCGGACTTAGCAAGCCCATGCCATCACTTTTGCTTTCATCTGGTCTTTGGTCTATGCCTGGTTAACAAGAATTCCAAAACACTGGCTCATGGCATTTCCCTCTCTGTGTCCGCCACCCCACCCGCCCCCCGACCAATGGGAACATCAAACAGAATGAATATAATGGAGAAATAAAAGTTTTCAGTGAATCCTTACTCTGACATTCTCCAAAATTCGTGGAACTGATTTCTCTCTCCCTTTCACCCTTGCTCAATCCCGACGCAGGCGAAGGTGACATAGCTGGAATATTAATTTCACAATTTGCAAAACTTAATGTATGTGCTTTCTCTCAGTTCATTTTAATTTCGTTTTGATTGATAAGGAGCGTGCAGTTGAGCTTTCACAGTAAAGGTCATGGCTGCTCTGGATTTTAAAAGATTGCAGTTTGTTTCTGCTTTATTTTTTCTTTTTTTCATGGTGCTTTTCTTGTCAAAAAGCTAGAATTCACAATTGTACCGCTGAGCATTTCATAGAACTCCCATGACCATATTAGACTCTTCATATTTAATTGAACCCCACTGTACACATTCTTGTATGGCCTTGTCCTAACCATGTCATGAACTTTAAATTTGCCTAAACCCTTATTTCCTTTTGAAAAAAATTAAGTATACTTTTGTAACTGCCACACGACAGCATTTATTTAAGAGTATCAGGTTCCTGGTGGGATTCATTCTGTGCTAATACCTGTTCAGATGAATTCTAGGCAGTTCAACAGAATAGCCTTCCATGTAGAGGCACAAAGCATCAGATCTGCCGAGGTCTGAACACACACACAAACAAGAAGTGTCTAGAACAGTGATGGCGAACCTTTTGAGCTCGGCGTGTCAGCATTTTGAAAAACCCTAACTTAACTCTGGTGCCGTGTCACATATAGAAATTTTTTGATATTTGCAACCATAGTAAAACAAAGACTTATATTTTTGATATTTATTTTATATATTTAAATGCCATTTAACAAAGAAAAATCAACAAAAAAAAATGAGTTCGCATGTCACCTCTGACACGAGTGTCATAGGTTCGCCATCACCGGTCTAGAACGACACCCAAGCTCCTGAAATGGACTCTGATAATGCAAACCGTTCACCACTTCCAGCTGTGCAAGTGTGTCTCCCCAAAAGCATGGGTTACTCTGGTTAACGGGACAGCTCTGACAGGCTTTCTTTCCAAACTATTTGTGAGCGGGCGAAACGCCAGCGGGAAGTTTGAAACTTCCTTTTATAGTCAACACTAGTGGGTACAGCTGGTCCCGAATGTTAACTAGTACGACTGTATCAGTGTCATTTTTAAAAACACGTGCATAATAGGTATGTTATCTAGAAAAAAAACCCAAACAGGCAACATGGCTTTTAAAGGACTTCCATGCGTGCCTTTGTTTTTAAACTTGTAAGCCCTTCGAAGGGATTCATGAACACGCCTGCACTGCAGATCGATTCACCTGACCCTGCAGTTGTGACAGATGCCATATCAAGAATACGGTAGTTTGCACAGTACTTAGACCGTGTGAAGGAACTGAATCAGAGACGGTGTTAATCTCCACATTGCCCTTCTCAATAAAATGAAATATAAGGAAAATATGTTTCTCCACAAAGGGAGGCACAGATTAAGGGTACAGTTAAGATACTATAGCTGCCTTCAATGTTCCTGGAGTACTTTGCTCAGTTTAATATCTTGGGGGGAGGGGACAGCGAATCACATCTTAGGCTACACACTGTGTTTTTCTTCAAAAGACAAGAAAAAACAACAGCAACCTAGGGAATGGCAGAAACTGATCGGTACACGGCCTCCACAGTTGCGTCATCCTGACCAATCATACTCATGAGAAACGGCCAGAAACAGCAACAGCCATAACAGAGCGCACGTGTATGTGCTAAGATTGAAGCATTTTAGGAACTTTCATTGGGAATAATGACAAGAGACATGAACATTATTTATGGTGAATAGTCTTTGGAAGTCACTTCATCATAAAGGTAAGAAATTAAACATGAAGGCAATGTTTTGTTTATAGGAGCCACAAAGTTACGGTGTGTGCCCTCGCTAGTTCCTATTTATTGAAAAAGCAAAGCCAGGGGAACACATTTAACCACAGTATCAGTAATTAATGCACAGACCACTCAATGTTGTTGTTTTTTTCTTTTTAAGGGGAATGTTTAGAAAGACGGCTAATATTTGGTTGAAAAAATTACCAGTATTCTTAAAAACTCAGAGACCACTAAGGAAGAATTTATTTTTTTCTCATTACTCCCGCAATCCAAACCAGTCACTTCATGTTCTCCTGTACATCAGAGCTGTTTCCCAAGAGCTAACGGGACGGCAGCTCTTACCTGCCACCTCCTTTAACTGAAAGGAACAACAACCCCGTGCTCACTGGGCCCTGGATCTGATGGCCATCCGCATCTACCCTCCCCAAGCTGACGGCCTGAGGGAGCCTCCAGGAATAGCCGGCAGATTCGATCACTGCTGACACGCTCTCACCCCTCCCCTCGGCTTCCCTCTATGCAGTCTACACAGGGAAAACCTATTGCTAATAAGCCCCGAGAGCAAGCTGAGGCCTGGAGGTGGGGCTGCCCGAAGACAGCAGCTGGGGTCTACTCACGTCGGCTTTCATACATGCTCCTGGACTGGGCCCAGATTTTAAAAGGATCTGGCTTTTTCTGCCCAGAGCTGTCGGTCTGCTCTGCAGCGGGGGCCTCTGCAGGTGGGAACTCGGGGAGCACCTGTGTGCTGTGGCTGGGGGAGGCCGTGTGCAGGCTGCGGTGGCTGGCGACGCTGTGCTGTGAGCTGTTCTGGCTGTCTTTTCTCTCCAGTGGTTGCTGAAAGGAAGCGAGTGAGAGGGGCAAGACGAGAGGGTTATTACTGGTTCTGAGTGGGTGTTTCCTATCAGCTCGTCTTTGTTCAGCACTTCTGTGCACACACACACACAAATGTATCAACAATATGTTGGCTTCCACCTTCCTCCAGCTAATGCTGAATGCAGACAAATCCCCAAGCGATTGGCAGACAGAGAGAGGGGTGGGCCAGGTGCAAAGATATGAGCACAAACCACACTGCTCTCTGGGCTGTGGCAGAAAACGAATCGTTTTCATCGTACGTTCTTGGCGAAGACACCAGGCTCATTTATGACAAGTTTTAACATCCCCACTGTTTTTGACAAAATGTGTGACACAAAATACCACGAGTGGTTTAAATGTAAAGCTATGATATCCATATGCAATGTAATCAGCGGTAAAATGTTTTTTTTTGAATCCACGTCTTTCATTATTCTTTCGATAATAAAATACCTGACTCCTATTTGAGGGTTTGCCATCAAAACTTCTGGACTCCAAGGAAAGGGGATCAGAACTTTTATTTAATTTTTTCCTTTGTCATGTTTTTTTAAAAAAAATTTAATTTCTTTATTGTTTAAAGTATTACATAGGTCTCCTTTTCCCCCATTGACTTCTCCCTGGCTGCCCCCACCCCCCAGCACATGCCCTACCCACGGCCCCCCCGCCCCTGTCTGTGTCCATTGGTTATGCTCATATGCATGCGTACAAATCCTCTGGTTGATCTCTTACCCCCTCACCTCCCTCCTTCCCTCATAGGTTGGACAGTCTGTTCGATGCTTCTATGACTCTGGTTCTATTTTGTTCATCAGTTTATGTTGTTTATTATTATTTTTTAAAAAAAATATTTTTATTGATTTCAGAGAGGAAAGGAGAAGGAGAGAGAGAGAAACATCAATGATGAGAGAGAATTATTGATCCGTTGCCTCCTGCACACCCTTTCCCACCCACCCACTGGGGACAGAGCCCGCAACCCAGGAATGTGCCCTTGACCGGAATTGAACCCGGGACCCTTCAGTTCACAGGCCCAAGCTCTATCCACTGAGCCAAACCAGCTAGGGTGGGAATCAGAGCTTTTAGAATCATTATGTGTGCACTTGAACTTAGAAGTGGATAAATAACTATTATATGAAGAACTTCCATAATTCTTAGGTGATCAATTTTGCAGATATCACATGTCACTTCTTGATCTCCTCACACTACTGTTGGTTGAAAACTGACATCAAACTTTATATATGGGTTGACCTCAGGGGTCAGCCTTCTTTGATTTGCACCCTGTCCAAAGTCCAAATAGTATTCAAAGGTAAAGAACTTCATTTAAATTTCAACAGAATAAGCAGGTGTTCCTTAAAACCTGCACAGCAAATGACCCTTCCCATTTTACGAAATGTTCTTTGAACGGAGAGCAAAAATTAGGGGGAGGAAAAATACCAGGTGGGAATTGAAATGATTTCAGTTCTTATTTTCTCCAGTAAAAGACTATGGTAAGCCCAGGTGTTTAGTTTCCCCCATTCAAAATAAAACCCGGGAACCTGCCTCTCACATGACAGGTGCTATGTCCCTACACTTACCTGCTGAAGAGCCCTCTCAAGGGACAGAGGACAGGAAGGGCTGTCTGTCTTCTCTTAAAGATCTTGTATAGCCTACGCTTCCCAAGTACTTTATAAGATCTTTGACTCAGAGCAGTCTGGGTTTCTAAAGTTCTATGCAGAGTCAAAATCTGCCCTTGGTCTTACAAGGAATTCTACCAGCAGCTCAATCTTGCTTCCTCCCTAGGTAACCTTCACGTTTCATTCCCATATCAATGGACATTTCCCAAGTCCCTTTCATTTAAATCGCAGGTCTCTCTGCCCCTCTCCTTCCAGTCCTTAATTTAAAAAAGCATCTGAAGAAAGTCCAAGGAGGACAAAAGCTTCATTTGCCCTTGACAATTACAGATTTCACTCTGAAATCAGGCTCTGGCAAAGACTCAAAGTTGAAGAAAATTGGATGTGCATTTAATGAAGGCAAGACAGACCATTTAAAATTTTACTTGGTGTGTCCGTGGGAGAAATCTGAGGACCATATTCTAAACTAGCAAAGAGGCCTTGGTAACCCTGTAGGAGGGGTTTGATTCACTTAGAGTCAAGGACAGCGGCTCTGGGGAAGGCAGTGTTTGGGGGTGACAAACACCATCATCAACCCACATTAGCATCGTTCTCTTCTGCGGGTAAAGTGCTCAGCTCAGACCTGTGCGGGTCAGCATTCCAAAGACTTGGAACAGAACCGGTTCTGCCAACCTCCAGCCACCCCCGCCGTGAACATGGCTCTCAGGGCCAGCGATCTCATTTCTGCCCCAAGGTCAATACCTGCCTCTTGCCTGCCTCTTGCCTCGCCCGGAGACAAGACGCCCTTGGTGTGGGAGCGTGCCAGGCGGCGGCAGCCCGGCCACCGCACAGTTTAAGGCACCTTCTCAGGGCGTTGCCTTCCTGGTATTTCCCAAATGAGGAACCAGGTTTGGAGGGCAGTTAAAAGACTCCAGAGTCAGAAAACATGAACGACAGAGAGGATCTCCTTCCCCTTTGCACCTGGGACCTGTTTTTCTCCTGGCTGCCATCTTTCCATGGTGGCCTTGCCGCACCAGCACGGGCAGCACAGCCACGGGGTGTGCACCCTCTTCCTCCTTCCCTGTGCTGCCTCCTTTGTATTAGGGTGCACAGCGAAGGCTTCTTATCAGCAGACAAGATGTAGAGCTCTTCTCATTCTGAGATTAACCTTGGTAAAAAGAATCAGTGGGGACTGTTACTCTATTTTCTACATTTTGGCGATACTTTGTTTTTGTTCACCTCTGGGAGCGGGGGAAGGAGAGATTTTTTAAATATAAAAGCAAATAATTCAATAAAGGGCTTCCCAGTGTACCCTGAGAGTTGCATTCCTCCCTTCAAATGCCCACTCTCTCTCTCGGTCCCTTGAATCAGTAGCAAATGTCAGGTTGTGGGGTCTGTCCCCTGACACTACACTGTTCCACAGGGAGGCCTCCAACGCTCGAAGCTCCTTCTCCTGTGTCCACAAAGCCTCAGGGGGGCCCGAGCGAGCGCTCCGCAGGCTCAACCGAGGCACACGTCCCCCTTCCCCCTTCGTGGGGTCACTCTGTGGGCTCTGGAACCCAAATTTCACCTCTGCTCCCCCTCCTGACCTGGAGAAAACCATCACCTGCGACGCTGCCCCACTGAGGAGTATCATAACCCGGGCCTTCCCCTGCAGAGGGTGCGCGAGCGTCCACAGGTGCGCACACAACACGCGCAGAGCTGGCGTGTCGCCCACGGGGTTCCAAGACCCTGCGATGGCTGTCGGTGTAACAGACCTCTGGCACGGAGGAACGGACCTCCCCAATTTAGCTGAAGACATGGATTGGCCATAAACAGAGGTGCAATGAAGTCCACTGGAGATGGTCTGAGCCATTTTTTAAGTTGAAACACTCTTCTCACCTCCCCAATGAACAAGTCATGTAAGTCCAATTTAACACAAAATGGAACAAGTTTGCAAAACTGCCTCTCAACCAAACTGCACTTCTGCAGCCCTTTTAAATGCCACCCAAACGCGGTTCCCAATTTGGAAAATACCAGGAAGGCAGTGCCCCAGGAAGTGCTTTACACTGTGCCGTGGCCGGGCCGCTGCCTGGCACGCTCCAACACCAAGGGCTACGTGCACGTTGACACGGGAGCTTGCGGGGTCTCCCCCGGTAAGCCTTAGCCTCACTTCATGTTTCTTCTCAAGTTTAGTTTGGAAAAGCACTTCACTGGAAGGTGCCTCCTGTATTTAACATTTGTTGGCACTCTGAGCTTTCTGAGGCTTTGCCTCTACATGTGAAAAAGCCCCAAACAAGCCTTTTATTTTCTGTGAGCATCTAATCAGCTCTGGCACTGCTTTTATCTGGTAGAGCCCACCACTGTCCAGGAGGAAAGCCATGTTTCTCTCTCAGATGACCGTCAACCTGGGGGCCTCACCTGCAGTCTGCGTTCCTTCCCGGAAGACCTGGGGCAGGAGAACAAATTCAGGTCTCAACTAAATACAAGGCCAGGAACAGATTTGCATCTAATGTGATTGTCCTTCACCTCATTTTCTAGGTGAAAAACCGGCCCAAAGCCAGGTACGTGCAGTTAAAGATACACCTTCCAGTCTGTTACCGCAAGCCAGGCACACGAAGAACACGGATGGAGGGAGCGCCCAGAGCACCCGGGTCAGAGCGGCCCGCGGGGTCCTCCTGAGCCCCTGCTGCCATCCAGGGGGGCAATGAAGTCCACCGGAGGTGGTCTGAGCCGTTTCTCAAATTCAAACACCCCTCTTGCCTCCCCAGTAAATGAGTCGCACGTCCTGACCGCCTGCTGTGAGTCGGACTCTCAGGGCTGCGGTGTGTGAGCAAGGAGGGATGGCAGCGGAGCTCTAGAACTTACATCCCGGGCGTATCTAGGGTGGGTGTGTGTGTCTGTGCAGATGAAAGTAACCATGACAGGCTGATACCAGCAGACCGCACCGCCCTTTAGCCGGGTAAGGAGAGGCCTGGAAGAACATCCCATTAATGGAAGCAGCATGTGCTCAGTCTTCAAGCAACACTGAGACTGAACTGTTAGAGAACAGAGAGGAGGCGAGTGTGGCGCAAGGGGCTGCAGCGGTGTCTCAGGTGACCTGGGAGGCTAACGTGAGGGCCTCTGGGCTACGTCAGGGAGTTTGGGTTTCATTCTTAGTCCAGGGGAGGAGGGATATATTAATGAAGGAAAAGCCGGATACATCAGAAGCTGACTTGCTTCCAGCAAGTGTGGTCTGGCTCCTGGGGTTGGGGCGGGGATGGTGTGTGTGTGTGTGTGTGTGTGTGAAGGTTAGTGGGGATGGGATGAAAGCAGAGAGCCAGTCAGGAAACAATGGAGTCCGGGGAGGTGCCCGAGGAGGTCTATGCCTGCGGAGCACTAGTGCCCAAGCAGAGGGACAGTGCACTTAGAAGACATTCGGTGCCAAGTCAACAGGCACTGCTCACAGACTGCACCGGGGACAGAGCAGGAGGAGGAAGAGCCTCATAAACGTGGGCATCCCCCCCCACCCCCCACCAGGTCCCACCTCGAGCGACTGGTTGGAAAGGGTTGGAGTACTGAGACGAATATTTCCAATGCCAGCTGTTGTCACTGGGCTGATATTTTTGAATCAAGATTTTTTTTTTCTGAAAATCAAATCAGAACCGACTAGGAAGAAAAAAAACGGGCTTACTTTTGAAAACTCCATAGAAGACCTGGGCCTCACACTAGCCGGTGCCATAAGGCTTTTAAAAATAAAACTGTACCCACCTCCCTAGAATGAATGATTTCCTTACACCCACAGGCCAGGGAGATCGGGAAGATGCAATGGTTTTTACGGACGGAGATGGGGACAAACCCAGCGCATCAGTCTTTCACAGAATCATTTCAAAATGAAGGTACTTAAAAAGTGAGCTGGAAATATTTGCTTGGAAGAGCAAATGAATACAGACAGCACTTAGGAGCTTTAATGATGAAAAGAATTCCTGTGGCTTAAAAATGACAAATCGATCCTTTTTAAAGCAGAATTATTTACAGTTCACGTATCTGCCAAGACTGGAGGCCGCTGCAGCGACCTCCATGGACAGAGAACCCCAGGTGCTGCTGGACATGGGCAGTCGGCACCGGCGGTGCGGGAACCGACTCGCACACGGCACAGTGGACGATGCTCCTCCCTTTTGTCTCTTTCTTTGGTCATTTATGGGTCTAAGGCAAACGATTTCTTCCAAAAAGGCAGGCAAGAGGAGTTAATGGAGAAGAAAAGGGAGTTAACAACTGGATATGAAGACGAGTTTTAGTTCGCAGTGCACGTGTCGAAGCAATCCAATACAACGGCAGAGTCTGTTTTCTAGGGCTCCAAGGGGTGAGGGTGTGAGTTGCTGTGGAAGTGAGAGGCGAGGAGCTTATCTGAGTCACCCCATCCTTCTCCCAGCTACCCCTCTCCTTGCAGCGGCAGGGGCTCTGACGACTTGTAGCACTGCCCTGGTGGAAGGACAAGCCGTATCGGGGTCCTGTGACCCCCCCGGGAGTTTCAGGAAGAGGCAGGACACATAAAACTGGATGGTCCGGCCCGGGTCCCTCACTGTGCAGCTTCTCTGAGATCCCCCCTCACATCTCTAATGACTAGTGGTCAGCCGTACCCTCAGCGTCCTGTCCAGGGGAAGGAACGGCAGACAATGGAACAGAAACCGTCAGTGTTGCTGCCTTCCATCCTGGGCGTTTGGAGAGGAGACTCCGTTGTCCATGACGCAGTGTCCCCTTATGGAAACCGTGCGTGAGGAGTTTTCAGTAACTGGGAACACTGTGCCTCCCTGCTGCTTGCTTTGACCTGACACAGGAAACATGGAATGTGGTTTCCTACGTCGCCCAGGCTGCTAGGGAGCTCGGGAGTCTAACACAGCTCAGTCGCGGCACCTAACTCAACCGTGGCTCTGTTTTCAGGGCTTTGTATGGCTACTTCACAGATTATTATAACTTAGAGCTGAATGGTTTTCAGTAAGCGTGTACTTGGTTTGGCGTGGTTAGCTTTTGAGAGTATATGTTCCTCAGTTAAGCCCTCCAGGAGGGTGCAGAGCTGCCTGCTGGGGTCTCTCCTGGTTGCACGAGGCAGGAACGTCTTCTGGTGCAGTCCTGGGGTACCCGGCACTGGTCTGACATAGAAGACACCCGCCTAACACTTACTGTTGGAACAGGCACATTACACATTTCTGGTGATTTGTGACAATGCATCTGTCTTTTGAAAGTAGCAATCAATAAAGTGTGTGTTTGTAAGCTCCAAAAGACAGGCGCTGCGACATCTTCCTTATCACGTTCCCAGTGCCACCCGGCGCCCCCCCCCCCCCCCCCGCACTGAGGTGCTCCACCCAAACAAAGGGGTGGACGGACTAACGAAGAAAAGGCAGAGGTATCGATGGGTAAGTGGGTAGATGATAAGTGGACAGATGGATCCATGAAGGAAGGGAGAAACAGAAGCACAGCGAGAAATGAACAAGTGAGAAAACATAATTGGATATTAACTTAACATTCAGGATTTGGCATGATATTTAGAGTTTTAAATTCTCCCACACAAAACCCTTGTGTGTGATCTAGACCAACAGTCTCAGTTGAATGCGTTTCCAGCCAGGATGATCGCGCTGGGCCAGAACCCGTTTCCAGAGAGGTCTGACACCTGACGGCAAACAGGTCTTACTTTCGTTTCTGCCATTTGGCAGAGAAATCTCTGATTAAATCCAGGATTAAATCAATGGAATTCCGTTAAGATACTGCCATGGTCTCCAGTGAGCAGATGAACCATGGAGTTAGCCTTTAAATGAGTGGTGGCGTTGCTTATTAAGAGTGAGCTATTGAGACCATCCAGAATGGGAATCAGGACCAGAAAGGTAAGTCCCTCTGTTCTAATAAAAACCCAACTACTCAATTACTGAAAACATTATTTTTTAAAAAAGGTCTGAGGGCAAAAAGAAGCTGTCAGTCACATGAGCAAGTCAACAATGCCCGGAGCTTTTAAGAAAAAGGACAACTGGGTTAAGACAAGCCATCACAGAGCTGATGGGAAAACCAAGTGTATCACAGCCCTGCCTTTCACTCCACAGCTGCCTCACCGGCCCTGCCTGCACAGGGGAACGGCTTTCTGAACCGTGACACGCAGCACCCCAGGGGTTCCCTCCGACCTCACCAGGAAAACCCCATCATCACCTGTCTCTGGCAGGACAGCACTGAAATTCAAACCGGGAAAGGGAACCAGCTTTCCACCTGCCCATACAGAGCACCCACTGATCACAGGTGTTCGCGCCGCGCCACTGGCGGCAGCAGACCTCGGCTGATGGCCCCTGATCCTGAAGAGCAGCTGCCGGTGCGCCAGCACGCTGTGAGAACCACATCCCTGTCAGGGCACAGGAATCGGAGGACAAGCCCCAAGCTGGGGCTCGTTCCTCTCTAACCAGCCACACACGGTCTCCTGGCTTGTGTAATTAAGAGGCGGCAGACTGTGGGCAAAGCAGTTAAGAGCTTTTTTCCTGGGAATGCAGCCTGAGTAATTGGCTTGCTGCTTGCTAATGACACAGCTTCTGCAAAAATAAACTGTCACAGGGAAGTCTTTCCACTGACTCGGTGAATGCAGGCTCTAGAGCTGTTTGATGCCCAGAGTGCAGCAGGGAATTCCAAAACACTTGGGGAAGAAGAGACGCAAGTGAGCCTCTGGCACGGTGAAGTTTGCACAAAAAGGAACGCCGCACCGAGGTCTTGCTGCCTGTGCAAAACCGATGCGTCTCCCCCAGGAAGCTCCTTGTTAAGACTCTGTTCCATGTGGGTGTGTAAAAGGTCCATCGTGTGGCGTGGCTCAGGTGGGGGAGAAAAGGATGGCTCTGCTAACTCACGCTCAGGTGACACATCTTCCAGATTTGCTTCTGTTTTTCTGCAGGCTGCACAGGTTTCTGACTATGACCCAGGGATGAGGAGACACATATGCACGGGTATGTGTATACACACACACACACACACACACACACACACACACACACAGAGACAGGCTCTGGCATCTTGGTGCCTACCAGCACTTTTGTGCCTGGACATTAACACAAACTGACAAGGGAAGCAGCCCTGAAGTCACAGGTGCCCATCATCATGGCACAAAGCCATTGCAATCACATCAATTATTGCAATCACATCAATTATCAATCATCCCTCGGTGGAGAACTTGGGAGTGGGGCTTCGAAACGCAGGGAGCCCCTCTCTCAGCTCCTTAATGAACTTCTGCCTCCTGCTGCCAGGCTTGGGGGCAGGTGGGAGGAATCCAGCTGCAGCGCCAGGAGCTGCAAAGTTTTAAGGTTCTCCTTTCCCAGGTGACAGGAAGCTGTAAAATGCCCCTCCCCCACATGTCCTAAGCCACATGGAAATGGCTCCTCTTCATCCCAACGGCAATGAATTGGGGAGCCTCTCGGATCAATTTTTCACAGGCATGCCGTGCAGATTCGGACTTTGTACGCAGCATTCTAATTTGCTGTCAGTGCCCCAGGGGCAGAAGCCCACACCACCAATCAAAACACTATAGCCTCCAGGCTATCAGCTACCGCGTCAACCAGGTAATGCATCTTCAGGGGAACCAGACTAGAAAGGACAGCAACACATTGATTTTTTTTTTTAAAGAATCCCATACCTGCAGCATAATGCTGCTAAAGCCAGCAAAACAACAAAGGACGCTTCCACAGCGAGGAAATGTCTGTGCTCAGTGCTGGGGCGGAACATCCTTCCATGTGAGCATGGGCGTGCATACAGGGCAGAGTGGTTCTCCTTAAGCCCACAGGCTTTTTAATTCTGTAAATCACTCATCATTCAGTGCCCAGGAAAGCCCGGGGGAGAGTCTGCCCACGTGAACAGCTGGGAACACCAGTTGAGAGCAGGCTACCGGGGAAGCAGGTGGAGCCTGCTTTTTTAATTCTCCTCCCAAAAGAAACAATAGCATTTGTCTCAAGTTAAAACATCTAAGAAAAAGTCATCCATTTGAGAGAGAGCCGGGCTGCATTCATATAGAGAAAATTCCAGTCCTGCTCCCGTTATCCTGGCTCCCGCAGCCAGCCCACAAATCATTAGGCAGTTAAAGACAAACCCACATACCTTCTATACCAAACAGATCCCCAGAACTTCAGATGCGGAGCCGGGCTCCGGTCCCCCATCCACTCCAAAGCACATTTAGTGAAGTCAAGCCAGACAGCGTCCCCTCCCACCACCCACCCCCGGCCCCCGCCCCCCCAAATAATCACCAAGTAACTGGCAAGTCCTTACCGACTTGGGGCTCTTCTTGGGAACTGGCAGCCCTGGAAAAAAATGCAACAAGGAGGGGAGGGGGGAAGAAATCATTAGCACAGAAACGTTACCTTTTCCTTAAAGAACAATCCCCAGGCGCTTCACGGCCACCTAGCCATCTGCAGAGTTATGTCAGATTTCTCCCCAGCTTCGGAGGTACCAGGCTGTTCATATCGAATCAAAGCGGAGGGAGGAGGCAGCCGGGGCAGGAGATCTATCTGCATTAGCTATGCTGACTTGTACTGCAGCAGCCTGGAGGCTGGGAAAAGAAATTCACAGACCTCCGCGGCCGGGGAAATTGAACACTTGGACAGAATCTCAAATGCTCTTCTGGATTAAGACAGACTTAACTTACAATTAAGTCCAGGATATTTCCTTCCTACCCGATCCACTTGTCAATTGAAGCGGACCAATCAGGACAGAGGATAGGGTATATATTGAATTTCAGTGGAGTATATGGTTAAAATTTAATTCTTTTCTTCTTTTTTTTTTTGGTGGGGGGGAGGTCGTCTTTCCTTTCTTTCTTTCTGTTTTGTCTCTGTCTGCCAGGAGAGGAATGCCTTCTTTATTTGATGAGCAGACACCAAAACAAAGACGGATGCTCTGTGCCAGCACAGAACACAAATGCAAGTTGGTCTGGGACCCCCTACGGATCGTGGACACACCCCTCCGTGTGTCAGTCATTCCAGCAAACTCCTATTCAGCCTGCAGAAAGGGATTCAGTGAGGACTAGTCCCTTAGGGAGGCATGTCGCTGGGGAATGAGAGAAGGTTCACAGAGCTGAGGGAGAGAGAATCATGGAGAAAGAGGAAGGCAGAGGAACGAAGCCGGTCAGGGGGCCTGCTGGCTCTTCCCTGCCCTGTTCTCCGTGGGGGTGAGACAGCTGGGAGGAGGGCACCTTCATCTCCTCACCTCTAGGCGAGTCAGAGGGGATGGGGGGCGCATGGGAATGTGCCCCAGGGGAGCGAAGCAAAGGAGGGCTGGGAAGCAAGAGTGAAGCAAGCATCTAACAGTGTTTCCAAGGTAATCATTTCTGCAAGCTGCCCTCTCTCTTTTTAAAATTTTTTTTTTCTGGTTTTAGCAAGGGGTCGAATGTAAAATGCAAATTCCATCTGTATTAGACACCAAAGGCACACTTGGATCTGATGATTCTGCCTTGGAAATGTCCACATTTTAGAGAAAATGATCCCCACGTACTGTGAGGATTTCTACTCCCTTGGAAGTGACTTGTCAAACCAGGAGCCGTACTAGGCTCGGTGCAGGTGACACAGGGCCATGAAGGGGTGAGCAGGAGAGGCCCCCCTGGGAGCGCCGGGACGTCCCCTGCAGTCAGGGCTGAGAGGACCCTGTCCTCAGGCCCGAGGCGCTCTGTGGCAGGGCTCATCACATCACCAAAATGGGGTCCGCGGTCGGGGAGAGTGGCTCTTAGACTCCAGGGTGCTAAGGAGCACTGGGCCACTTGTTAAAATGCCAGATCCCCGGGCCCTGCCTGGCAGGGGCCCAGGAATCTGCATATGAACAAATATTCCAGAAGATTCTGATGCAGGGGTCTGAGGACCACATCTAAGGAAACTACATTATGAAGAGTGCTACTGTTCTGAGTCAGAGAGGAAACTTTCAGGGAGCCGCTTTGGAGCCCTGGAGGCCTCAGTTTCTCAATCTACAATCTATGAAATGGAGCTAAGACTCACTTCACAAGATTGCCACGGTCATTAACTGGACCAAAGGTTTAAAAGCCTGGGGGTGGTAAGGGGTGGCCCTCAAATGTCCTCCCCTTTCCTCTGCCTTTGCTACTTGACACTATTCAGGAAGGAAGTGGTTCTGCTTATCTTACTTTAATGAGGCAAAATCACTTGCCTAGCATGTTAAAGTAGAAAAAATATTGTAGGGGAAATATCTTACCTATGAATAAGAATAACGTTGGGCGATTTAGATATGTCATTATTCTTAAAAATAATCATTAGGTGCTTTTATTTGTTCATTATTATGATTCCCTTAATGAATTTTATCAAGTTATATTAGTGTGGGTCACTGTGTATACTTCACAATTACCTACCATTACTGTTAAAGTTCAAATTTCCCCCTAATTCAGGCTAACCTTCTCAGTTAACTGGACTGAGTAGGTTTCACCACAGTTAACTAGACTCGGCCTTACCCAGGGTCCCCATGACTCTACAAAAAATGTATAAAACATCTCCAGCTGGGTCAGAGGAGCCCGGGCACATGGCCTCAACCCTCACTCTGCCATCGCTCCTGTCGACGGCTACCCTACATGTCCTGCCTCTAAACCTGCACATAAACAGAGGGCACTTCCATCTCCCTCACAGAGAAACCCGCACGGTCAGGGGCTGCACAGGGCGCTCTTGGCCGGGACGAAGGAAACCTGGGAGCAGCGGACGCTCCAGAGAAGCATGGGCCAGCCGACTGTACAGCAGTCAGCGAGGTCAGAGGACACGCGCTACCTCTGAGGGCGACACCATGGATGTTTCCAAAACACAACGGGGAGCGAGGACAGCCGGCTGCAGCTGGCGGGGGTGGGGGTGGGGGTGGAGGGGGAGCAGGTCAGTGCTGACCACACTCACACACAGGCACAGGCACAGGGTCCACGGCTTCCCCACCACACTGGCAGCAGGGACACTTCTGTGGGACAAGGAAGGGCAGGGTTCCGGGGCCTAGTGAGGCAGAATGTAGCCTTAATCTAGAATTCTTTATCAGGAACACCATACTCACATCTTGCTGAGACAATAACACATTAATAAATGGCCCTTCCATTAACTGCATGAAACCAACCAGTCTGAAGCCTAAAGGGGTGATGGTGAGGGTCTGTCTCCTCTGAGGAGGCAGTCAGCCCAGGGAGCAGTTCAGGGAATGGACCAGGGAACAGTTACTCCAGGGAACAGACCAGGAACAGTCCAATGGTCCAGCTCCATTGACACAAGCTGTATTTTACAACAACAACAAACTTATTTAATTTAAAGAGGCATGTGTTCCTGTTTGCTAGCTAGTTGTTGAAAACCCTCATTTAAAAAAGCCACACCTTTTACAGGAGCACAAATCAGCACTTAAAAAGTCAAAAGCCAAGAGATTCCACTCAACAGCTTTAAAGCAACAACAACAACGATTTGTTTTAGGTCCGTATATCATTAAATCTTAAAACCTAATGAATGCTGGAGCAAAGCTCCTGATACAAGTTACCATTTATTTTAGCCCAAACTATTCAGATGGATTGAAGCAGCTGGGAGACCTAGCGGAAAACACTCAAAATCGGTTACCGTTCGGCAGCGTCCTCCAAGACCAAGACATCTCAGGACGTGGCTCTGGTCGGGCTGGAGGGACCGCAGGCCGCCCCGTCCCAGCCGGCACAGCCCACACGTCACAGGGAGGTGGCTCCCTTAGGACAGATGCGCACTTGTGTTCCCAGGGGGAAGCCTGTGTTGTGTAAACCACATATTCCAGAGGAGGCGTGAGGAGGAACAGCCCTGGTCTTAATGGGCGCATCTCCTCCCTCCGGGCGGGAAGAGGGAGGATGCTGAGAGCAGGCGGAAGAAAGGGCTCCTGGCTGCACCACCTGCGGCTCTGAGAGCCTAGAAGGTGGCAAATGCGGCTTCAAAGGGATCCCAGGAAACTTTTACTGGGAAGTGTGCGTTCACAGTGTGAGTCTAAGCGCGAGCCACGGAAGTGAGAAAGCCTGGGAACGGAGGCCCCCATGCGAAAGGCGTCCCTTTGGAGGAACAAATGGCAAATTCTCTGCCAGCGATGGGATCTGACCAATTAACATGAGGAGGAGGAATCTCGTTCCTTTTAAATGTCAAGGCCATAAACTATGCTATTGAACATGTGCTCATATAACTAAATGGCAAATGTTATTCTTGGTGAAATTTTATAATGGCAGTAACACAATTTATATAAAAAAAGTAAAAATATAACAGAATATATATGTATTTTGGAAACAAAGGCTGGAAGGTTAAACACCAAAACAGCAAGTGGGTTCTTGGACTCATGGCATCAAGGATGGCTTCATTACCGGTTTCATTATTTTCTACAACAGGAAAAGCTGCTCAGAGGCACACAATTGTGCATATAATTTCAAGCAGTCTCTGAAACCTTGACCAGCCTTGGGAAGCCCATTCTGTTGGGTCCTAGGACCCTCAGGTTAAATCGTCCCTGTCCAAGCACATCGCCATGGCGTTAGATGCAATTCCTAGGGGCAGCACGAGTAAAGCACTGTGCCTGCAAGTAGAAGGGAGGTGAGAAGGACCGAGCAGAAAGGTAAGTTTCATTGTTTGCTTCTCCTCCCTCGTTCTTGGAAAGATCTAAAGGGCACATCTAAAAAACTTCTGAGGGGAGAAATTGCATTAAAGAATGTATGAGCCCCAGTAGAGGGTGTGCAGGAGGCAGCAGATCAATGATTGTCTTTCATCATTGATGTTTCTCTCTCTCTCTCTCTCTCTCTCTCGCTCTCTCTTTCTCCCCCCCTTCCTCTCTGAAATCAATAAAAATATATATTAAAAAAATATATACCAGAGTTCGGTGTGGCTCAGTGTTTGAGAGTCAACCTAGGAACCAGAAGGTCATGGTTCGATTCCTGGTCAGGGCACATGCCCGGGTTGAGGGCTCGATCCCCAGTAGGGGGCATGCAGGAGGCAGCCAATTGATGATGATTTTCTCTCATCTCATTGATGTTTCTATCTCTCCATCCATCTCCCTTCCTTTTTCTCTAAAAATCAATAAAAACATATTTTTAAAAAAGAACACACCAGAACACTAATATTCATCAGCGAAAATGCTACTGCAGGAAAACATAATGACCTTCTAGGTAATGCTTTTACTGGAAAGGAGGGGTAGTATGATGACAGAGCAAAATACTAAGAATTCAATGAGATAGAGATGTGGAGGGGGTGCAGGAAAAATAGAGTGAGAAGATCTATGATTTCCCCAGAAATGCAGAATTGATGGCTACTTGACTACAAACCAGTGGCTCTAACCAATTAATATTAATGACCGGTAACCC